CGTCTGGCGAGCACAGCAGGGGTGGCGGGAGCCTCTCCTGCCTCCACAGCAGTGCTAAGGACCCCTGGGGGGATGTCCACCCAATGGGTGTTGTCTGCCTGACCATGGGGAGCAGGCCTAAGCCAGCAGGCAGACATCCCCCAGGGGTCCCAGACTGCGAGAGAGCACAGACAGGGCTGAGGGACCACCTCCCCCCTTATACTCCCCCCCCCCAGTGCACAAATGTCGTGCACTGGGCCTCTAGTATATAATAATTCTGTATCTTAAATGTGTATCAAAAGGAATTCCTAATATTCCCTCCAGACTTGCTTTAGCCATAGCCTTTTCCATCTAAGTGTAGCTTCATCTTTTCATTAGCTCAAACAAAAAACCATTCAAACAAAAGACCAAACTTCGCAGTCATTCATGACTCCTCTCTTTCTCCAATGCTGAAAACCAATTAGAAAATTCACTTGGCTCTTTCTTTTCAAATATACCCATAATTTGACCATTTCCCATTATCTCGCCTGCTCTTATACTATGTCACCATCATCTCTTGCCTGGATAATTGCAATGGCCTCCTACCTAGGTTTGCCATAATTAGCAAATAAAAATACAGGACACTCTATTAAAATTGAGGTTCAGATAAACAATAATTTTTCTCGGTATAAGTATGTTCCAAATATTGCCTTCTTCATGCAGGAGCCAAAGGGATTCTTTCAAAAATTCAGAATAAGTCACTTCTCTGTTCAAAATCCTGTGATGTCTTTTCATCTCACTTATACTAAAAAGTTAAAAGAAAAAAACCCCAAAAACAAAAAACACAAACTTACAGCTGAGGTCGACAGCCCTGCAGGATCTGCTACTAGCTGCTCTTTCCTTTTTGATCCGCCCTATCCTCCCCTTTTCTCTGCTTGCACATCTATTATCTGGGTCAGACTTTCCCTAATCACCCTGTTTAAAATTGCACACTTTCTTTCCCCTTCCCTACTTCATATTTCTCTGTGACCACCTTTTTTTATTTTATTTTATTTTTTTACAAATCATTTGGTTTGTCTTTCTCCTTCCACCAGAATTGAAGTTGTATGAGAGCATTTTTGCTTTTTTGTGCACTGCTGCATCCTCAGTGCTTAGAATAGTGCCCAGCACATAATAAATGCTCAATAAATATTTAATAAATTTCGGAATTAAGTAAATGTAGTTATCCAAATCAATAAATAGCTTTTGTTTCTGTTTCACTAGCACACTCACATTCTGATCATTCAGCATGTTATCTATTTCAAAGTAGTCAAGTAACTGCTGTCATCTTAAAGAAGCCGCCCCCCCACTCCCCCCAGTAATTCTATAACAGTAACATTTATAATTGTAGACACGATTCTGAAGTATAGTAATATATATAACTTTAGGTATTATTATTACAGTTAATTTAAAGAGGAAAATTAAGGCCCGGAGAGGTGAGTAATTTGCTTAAGATCGTACACGTGGGATACGGCAGTGTTGAGCAGAGGACTGCGCTTTAGCTCCCTTTCTGTTTGCTTTGGAACTTGCTTTGGTTAAGCTATCAATAAAAAGCTCTTGTGGATTCAAGTCCAAACTCAACAAACGTCAAGTGCGTTATCACGCTCCGGGCAAGGGCTCCTCCACATTTTGCATTTGAATTCTGCACCGCGGAAGCCAGAGGCAGGTGTTCTAAGGGGCGGGCCCAAGTCCCCGGGGCCTCCGCCAGCCAATCAGAGCGAGCGGCAGCCTCCCTTCCCCCTCAGACGTCCTCGCG